TTGGCGAGTTATTGAGGAGATCAAAGAAATTCTTTCACTTTTTTTATAATATTTTTGCATTATTAATGAAATCCATTTTATTTTACTGACAGGGGCAGTACTACACTAGTATAAATTAAACAAACTCTTATATTCATTGAATCTTCGGAATTGTCAAGGCTGTTTAATAGAATTTCAACAAAGATCTAAGACAATGATTTCCTTTTAATTAAATTAAATTATTCAATCCAATAAGAAAAAGGTTTGTCTAAAACCATCTGTGTTCATCTAGCCTTCTGAGAGATTTTCTGATTACGCGAAACCAGACTGATACATTGTACAGTCTAGGTGTTCATAGGTGGTTGTTAACTTAATTGTTACAGGGTCATCTACTGACCCTAGGTGAGAAAGTATTTAAATTGCTATTTTAAATCTGAATTTTAGTCCAATGTGTTTCTCCAGCAGATTGGAGACCAGTGTACCAGGCTGAGTGTGGCCAACAGAGGTAGTTCAGTGCATTTTATTATTATTGTTTAATTAATATATTTAGACAGTTAGCGGTCAATATTGGCCTGTGGCAGAGTGTAACCTTTCGAAGGCAACCTTGGGTCGGCTCGAAGTCAGAGCAAACCACCGACACCACTGGCACCACCTGATATGGATCAGTTGGGAGTGGAAACTAATTGAAAAGTTTTGCAAACTCGATGGGAAATCGTGTTGTCATGGTGTCCGACCGCAGAGCTTAATCCACAAAGCTGTCGTCTTCAAAATAAATAACACAAGCTTGCAATTTGCGGACTTGGCCAATTAAGATAAGGTAATCCAACACGAAGACTGTGTCAAATATGTGCCATTAAATCAGTGTAAGCAAATCAACGACTTTTGGTTTTGGGGTGCAAACTCGTTTCAGCCTAAGCCAGTTCAAATTTGTTATTACTCCGCAGGCAATTATTGTGTGTCAATAATTAAGCCAGAAGTATGACAATTAAGCTGGAAGAGACCAAGGCGCATTTTAGGCTAATGAGTAAAATGTATATCTGAAAGAACATAAAGTTAGAGATTTGTTGGGCTTAGAAGATAACGAAATATTTGAATAAATTGAATTTAAAATGGTTTTAACTGGTTTATTTGATAAAACACATATTTAAACCCCATTGTTTCTTCTACACAAAATAAGGTGCTATACAATAAATGGAGAACGATAAATTTTAAATGTTTAAAATATTTCAGCTGGTTAACTTGATAAAAACTTATTCAAAACTTCATTGTTATTCTAGCCATCAATCTTTATAAGACAACAGTTCAATAAACACATTAAATGTTCTGATATTCCCGCTCCCAAATTCGCTCAATGAAACTGTATCTTTGCGATCTGTAGGTAGCTGCAAAGCAAATCTCATAATCAATCGAGAGCGCCGACACGGGCAACAGGTTTGAGCCACACACACCTGCAATCGGAGTCACTTGAATTCACCTTATCACGAACAAACGCTGATAACTGGCATTGGGGGTGGCAATAGTACTATGTACATAAAACTCAGAACCTTGTCAATTGTGGTTGCGTATTAGTTGTCCCTCTGAACGTTGGCCAGCTTTAGTTGGCACATGTGGCAGGCGATGGAGCGCAACGATGGCCATCTGAGCCGAGCAATCAACCCGACTCACCTGGAACACGTAGACGAATATGTGGAAGGTGCAGATGGCCTGGAAGATCGAGAGCAGGGCACACCACATAGCCTGCCAGGGGGCTAAGCAGCCCAAGAGGCGTTCCAAAAGTCTGGTGTGTAACTGGTCCAGCTCTTCGATATCACCAGACTCCAACATCGGCGAGGCCTCGCCGATCTCATGTCCGTTAGCTCCATTGTGACCCGGTTTAAAGTGCAACCGTTAACGTCTTGCGATGCAAGTCAACTGAGTTAGAATGCTCGACTTTCGAAAATGTATCTTATGAAATTCAAATTGGTTTCAGATGCAAGATTCGGCAGGCCGAGAGGTGTCGAGAGCCGAGAATGCGTGTGTGCCAGAGAGTTTCGACCGGGTCTCTGGCTTTTATGCAGGCGCGGCGTTATTTAAGATTTCTGTGGGGGCCCTGAGATAGTTCTGTCCAACCAAAAACACACCGCGATATTACGATAGCCAAATTACTTGTTAACTCTGTCTTCACACCCGGCCAAGTGAGTCATTAAAGAATCACTTGATGATGATTTAAAACTCTGTACCGACGACCTTTCTGGGGAGTGCCTTGACCAACTCCTCCCACAAGGTTGATGCACACTCTACGACACGCCAATTTCATTTGGTACATCTTGCCAGCATAAAGATATTTTTATAGAACCGAACTTTCTTTAGTTCGGCAGTCGTAATCTTATCTTCGCGACTGTCTCTATTTGATTGGTTCATGTTAATATAGAGGATTCTTTTAACAATTGGTTATTGTTTGTCTTGCCAAGATAACATTATGCTTATCAAGGCGAAAAATAGTACAACAGAAGCAATCAAAACAGGAGCGCCAAAGTAGACCAAGTCGTTTGCATTAAATGTTATCAGAAGTGCGCTAAGTTCTTGTCTATTTCGCTACTACTCAATTAATTTCCTATTGATAATTAAAAAATACTTTTATAGTTCCAGCTGATAAAAGGCATTGATTTTATGATAGGCCGGGTGGGCTAGCCTTTCTGTATAAAAAAATACTAGACCCATAATAACTGATTTAACAGTTTTTAAAAGTGATCTAACACTTCCTCCCTCTTGCATCACACTGCTACTTAAGGTTAACCAATCTCTATATTATTCCCCAACTTATGGAAGTTCGATTGGTATAATTAACCTCTGCAAAATAACTCTGCTCAGCCAGTCGAACTTCTTTGGTTCTTGAATGACTGTTGCAGTTTTCATGGGTTCTTATAAGCTCTATTAGCCACCGATCCGTCAATCCGCGGATCGTGTGTGTCAAGGTTCCGTGTGGTTTTGCTCAGCTCCCTTCGATTTGGGGTACCTTTTGAATGACGACATTAGCACGATAGTCGGTTATTACCCTTATTACCTATAGCATCTATAGGCAAATGATGCACACGCAACCTGCTCGCCGACAAACGACTCCCAAGTGGCTGTGACAGGCTCCCTGAAAAAGTTGGTCAAATATGCTCGAAGGTCTCGCGTTGCTTTCGAGAGCTATTTCAAAAAAAGGTCGAGCAAGTGGTCAAAATTCGCATGCGTGTGTTGCCGTGATTGCCGGCCAACCAACTCAAGTGGCAACCTCTTCAAATTGTTATCAATTGTTTTGTATAATTCCATCATACTCATTTCACGCAAACTCATTTGTTGATAACGTTTTTTTTAAACCACACTCTCTTTCGCTTTTCATCGGGCAATTACTTCACTGTCAACACTTCGCATCGAGGTGATACACAAGCAATTATCGGCTATTATTAGTGCAAATCACTAACAGACTTTACAGCTATAAATCAGTTACACAATGTTTTCTTCCGGTCTAAACACTAAACACCCCTGCATCCGGGGTGTTTTAGGTGGCGGGTTTACCTACCAAAATATTTGATATTGATGTTTTTAGGCAACGCAATCAACTGGGCAAATATTTGGCCAGCCATAAAACCGAAACTCACCTGGAAGACAAACATGAACAGGTGAAAAGTGGTGGGCAGTTGGAAGAGGCAGAGCAGCAGGGTCCATAGGAAGCTCCAGCGGGTGTAGTGGCCCAGGAAATTGGATATCACATCGCTGTCGGCATCCTGGCTAAGGTCCCTGTTCGGCGGGGGCTCCTCGTTGGGGGGTTTCTTAAGGTCCTCGGAGTAGCGACGAAAGTCCAATGCTATGACACTGATTTCCGGGGTCTTTGGGCCCGGCCTTGTCTCGCGATATCCGCCATAGAGGTTTGCCTCCAGGCTGCCCCTGCCCTTGTCCCGCGGTCCGCCCACACAGTCGAAATTCAGGGAACCGCGACGAAGCACGCCACTCATATCGAGGAGGTTTTTTCTTTCGCGAAGCAAGTATTTAACGATTTCCCAAGACTTCCGATTTTATTGCTCCACTTTTGCGTCGATCGATCGATTGGAAATAAATAAAACTCGCGTCGATCGTTGGTATCTCAGCCGTCGGCGTCGATCTGGAACCGTTAAAAGTTTGGGGGCTCTGTTATAAGCAGTCTGTAAATCTGCAAAGAGCGAAAGCTATGGCCAAAGGCATTGCCAGCATCGAAAAAGCTCAACTTAAAGCTTCGACTACCCCACTATCGATCGACTTGGCCCACCAAAGGCCCCCAAAAGCTCTTGATCCATTTGAGTGATATTCATACTTCCCTTAAGGATCTTCCATATCCACACATCTATATTAATTTATTTATTTATTTATATTTTATTTTGACACTATAATTGCGTTTGCTTTGGTAATTTTGATTTACAACAATTTTCATAAATTTATTCAAGTGCTTCATCTCAACACTTAACTTAACAATTAATTTCATTCTGTTTTAGATTCGGGTATTCCGTTTATTTGAAGCTTAAAAAATCTCTTACTTATGACAAATACATAACAAAGCTGGTTTCATCTTAACGGGTAAGTACAATAGGCAACAAAAAAATAATGGTAAAATAAGCGAAATAAAAGTACGAAAATAATACCAAATACAAATGAGCAAATAACAACTTGGTAGGTAAGTACAACAAGTAATTCAACAGGTTTGCATTTTCTAATTTGATTGTTTTTGTTTTCTGCACTACATATACATACACAAACGCACACATATCCATATACACATAATTGTATACATTGTTAAATGCATTATATTGGAAATTTATTTTGTTCATTTCATATACATACATATATTGTTTAATATGACTCCAAACAATAAAACTCCTTGTATGTTCTGTGTCCTTCTGCACACACAAACAGACATACATATATACAAATCCATAATTGACCGATACCTAGAGACTGATCTGTTGTATATAAGTTTTTTTTGGGTACGTGTAGACTAAGGATTAATTGACTACAATTACTAGAGATTACAATTTGTCGCTTGAATCTGCCATTCTCATTTCCCTGGAAGATTTAGATACTTTGCTTATTGATCTCGTATTTGGAAAACATTTATTAATAGACAACAAGAAGACGACGACGACGAGATTATGAATACGTTGAGATATTGACAAGACATATTGACAACATTATAGTTTTGTTTTTCTTAATTTTTGTTTGTGTGAACTTTGATTCGATTTTAATTAAATTAGCATACTGTTATTGTAACGCTCTGTATTCAGGGTAATTAACTGGGTATTGCAAAAATTTCCATTTCATAAACTTTTCTTAGGGAGGTGCAATTATTGATGGAGTACTGCCATAAAATTTATCTCATTATAAAATTAATAATTGTGAAACAGGGTCAAATAAAATGTGTGCTATTGGGTACATGGATAAAAATCAAAATAACTAAACAGTTTTTAGTAAACTCCCTTTGCAAACCCTCCCTAAGATTTGGCCAAGTTTATTACCTTCGATGGGAACCGAAGAACTTAATCTACTTAGAGTTTTTTTTTAATGACATTCTGGGTGTTGTGTGTGTGTGTTTTCAGTACTTAGACTATGACATAAGCTACAAGCCATTGTTGTTAGTTAATTGTTAAGATACATACTCACTACATGCTACGCAAACAAGGTCCTGCCTGACATGTGACATTCTCTAGCGAATTGGCATTACTCTTGGACAATCATCGAATCTTTTACCATAAATTGTAGGTGGCTTCAGGCGGTGGATATGTCGGGAGGCGTGGCAGGTTAGAGGGGGCGTGGTTAAGTGGGGGCAGAGAGAGACTTCTGACTTCTAATCGGCATACTTTGGACCAGCCAAAATACTTTGTTCCTCGGGGGCTGAGCACGTGGGGATTGGCAATAGCGGTCATTACACCTGCTTGGCGGCACTGGTATTGGCATTGGCATTATTGGCATTGGCATTGGAGCCACCCTGGTTTTCTGCTTTTGAACGCACGGCGGTCTCGGGCAGGAAGAGCACCACAAAGCCACCAAAGATGCTCCAGGCGGTCAGCAGGGTCATCAGCAGGTGACCCTCGATCTTGTTCTGGAATATTTTAATTTATAGATTTATAGTCGATTTTTTAGGGAGTTTAATAGCTTACCAGGAGCGAAAGGTAGGGAGTGAGGATCAGGGCCACACCGGCGGCCACATTGCAGGCACCAACACCCACGTTGCGAATGGGCGTGGGATAAAGTTCCGCCGTATATACCGGCATTATGGTATTGCCCGCACTTATGGTGAACTTGCCCATCATCAGGAATGTGATCTTCAGCCAGAGCAGGTCCGCTTGCCCCTCGGTGATCGCCGCACAGCAGCAGGCGACGCCGGCACAGATCAAAGTGGCGCAGAAGAGCCACTTCTTGCCCACCTTGGTGATGATGTACATGGCCACGGCGATGGCGGGTATTTCGACTAGGCCAGCTAGCGCCTGCAAAAGAGATGGCAAAAGATTTAAGAGGGTGGTGAGGGTGAGCAGGGCGCTGGGCAAGTGGACAAGATGTCAACTGTCGGCGGGGCGCATTAAATCAGAGCGGCATCAAAGGTGCGCCCGGCGTTGTCAAAATAAATTATGCAATAAATTAGCTGAAAATCTCAGTGGCAGACGCATTGTCAAATGCTGGACAGTGCTGAACGATTAGCTCGGAAAAATCATGAAAAAGAACAGACGTCCTACCACGAAAAAAACATGGGCCGATCTCTCAAAGTCAGAACATGTTGTCATAAGGTTACTTTGTTTTGGGAAACATATGCAATTTTTCTATGTGTTGTTAATTTAACAAACAGTTTAACATTATATTAAGAAACAATTTAAACCAATCATAAAGTTAACATGTTATTGTGAAATCGGCTCTTTGAGACTTAAGAAAGTTCGAGTTACGAAAGTTTATCTTTATTACCTGAAATTCACAATCTTGAGATTTTCTAATATATCAAAAAATTGGAATTATTTTAAGCAGAACTTTTATAAATAAAAAATTCAAATGGATTCTAAGAAACTTTATAAATATACATTATAATGTTTTTTTTTACCTGCACGCCAATCTTTTGGCATGTCAAAATTCAATTTAAAATCTTTACCACACTTATTCCATTAGCTTTCTCGGGGCAAAAAAACAAACATGGAGATCAGGCAACATTAAGCGATTTAGTGTTTTAAAACAATCAAATCCCGAACAAATGCCAAACATGTTTAGCTTATTGTATATTCCAAGGCCCGTCAGCACTGTGCTCAACATTCTGCTGGCCAACTGCCAGGTGGAGGGGCTAAGATGGCTGCGAGTGGCGCTGCGACCGCGACTACAGGATTTATCTACGATATAGTAGATAGAGTGGGGATGGGGGTGTGGGTGGTGGTGGGCCAGTAACATCATAATTCGATTGCAAACACATTTTCACATCAGGTCCAGTCGTTCGTAGAACCGAAACACTTGACATCGAACAGACAATCTTCAGTCAACGGCTGATGGAATCGCTGACAAATCCAATTAGACAGCCCCACCGAAAAATTCGGAACCACTTGGCACTTGCTAAATGCTTGATTGACCCTATATCTTGACAAGATTTCGGCTGAAGTTTGCCTGCCTAAGTGAATTTCTCTGCGCCCACCCTGCGTATACCTAATTTCCACGAAAAAGAGCACAACTTACCGAATTCAAGTAGACATTGCCGCCGAAGGAGCTCATGTTGAGAATAATCCCGTAGTAGACCAGATTCATGGTGAACCAGATGCAGAAGAAGCAGATGGAGATGCGTCGCAGGTAGCTGGATCGGAACAGGTAGGTCACATCCTGCGAACTGCTCTCCTGCGTCGGAGGAGTGAGTTGATAATCGGCGGGCAGCTGGCGACCATTGAACTTGGCCGCCGCCTCTATAATCCGACGCACCTCATCGATGCGACCCTTGACCAGCAGCCAGCGCGGCGATTCCGGCACCACAAACCTGAAGGAGAAGAACACCCGGGAAAAAACATTTAAAAGAAATCAAAAGATATATATACATTGTAGGAAACATGTGCCGCGGCAATTATGCCACTCTGTTTATAGTGGCAAAACAGAACACCCACGCCATGTTTTCTTCTCATTAATTCACGAGTCTGTGATCTATATACACATGTGTTTTTTTTCGTATGCTGTTTGTTTACCTGCCAAAATCGATCAAAGACTTACCAGAGGAAGCACAGAAAAATCCCCGGAATTCCAATGCAGAGCTGCAGGCGTTGATAGTCCTGGGTCAAATAGGCCAGGCCCGATATGATCATGTAGGAGATTGGCAGTGGAAACAGGTTGTACATCCCGGCGATGGTCCTCCACTTGCCATCCACATACTCGATGGCCAGGATCAGGCCGGAGTAGGTCACCGACACCGATACCAAGCCGAGCAGAGCGCGAAGTGTGAGATATAGCTCAAAGGAGCTGCAGATATATAGCCAAAGACCTAGGAGGTATAAAAATATATAAAATATATAAATATAAAATATAAATTTATTATGTAAACAAAATGGTCTAAAATTAAAAGGAATTGCCATGTATATCGCGTAAAGGACTAGTTGGTAGTAAATAGTTCAAACTAATACCAGATAAAAGCTATCATTCAATAGGAAATGTTTTTAAGATAATGACTTTCCTTCATCAAGAACAACAAATAAGAAGCTTATAGGCGATATTTACTTCCCAAGTTAATTCACACACTTCAAAGCATTTCCTTAGTAATCCTTATGGAGCCTCAAAATCAACACACGTGTCTACCCTCAATTCCAGTTCCTCATTAGTAATGTCCTTTCGAATGCAAATTTCAATTATACATTGTGAGAGATTTAATCAACAAGGACAACAAGGCTGGCAAGAGCCAGGCAGCCACAACTGCAGCTCGAGTCCCCAACCGACTATCCAACCACCTGACAGCCCGACCCCACTGAAAACCCACAGAGAGCCACTCGATGTGCTCGTGCTGACCCCCTCGACATGGCCAAGTTCACAGTCATCGGAGGAGGCCATCGTCAGGGCCAATGTCGGTGTGACTTCCGTATATATGGGGGGTGGCTTTATAAGGAGTGGGATGGGATGGGAGATGGCCTTTATGCCCCCAAAGAGACACTCACCGAATATGGTCTGCAGCACGGCCGATATGAAGAGCATTGTCTTGCGGCCGAACTTGTCCGATAAATAGCCGGAGATAATGCCACCTGTTGCCACTCCGAGCAGAAAGAACATCTCGGCCACGTTCTTCAGGTGCTCCTTCTCGCACACCAGATCCCATTGGGATGTCCAGGTGTTGCCCACGTTGTCGTTGGTCTCGTACTCCCATTTCTCGCAGGCCACCATTTTCCTTTCCACCTCCAGAGGTTGCTGGTAAATTAGGGATACATTTTTCATATTTTTATATAGATTATAACTAGATCATACCGTCCACTCTGATGGCTGAGTGGTATCATTGGATACTTGACTCCAATCTATGCCCTCCCATCTTTGGCAGTTGTCCACGGAACCACTAATATTCCGCCAGACATCCACTGGCATGTGCTGAAATTGCGCTGGGCGCTGGCACCAAAAATCCTTGTTGGCTGCCTGGTAGATGGACGAGGATATGTGGAAGGTATTGGGCACCTGGAAGAGCGACAGCAGCACCGTCATCAGCAGCTGCCACTTGCCGTAGTGACCCATTAGGTCGCCTATCACATCGGTCTCATCCTCGTCGTCCGCCGGATCCAGTCCGCTGACCGCCGCCGCCGCTGTCGGCGACTGGAGCGTCGCTGCCTGCTGTTTGGGCGGGATGGTGGGGCTGGTGGCGGGGGACGGTTTGCCGGAGTCGTGCATGATGCACAAAGGAACTGGAAGAAGAGGAAAGGTGAAAGTGAATCAATGAATACGGTGTGCAATCGAGGCTTGTGTGCAAAGTATAACTCATTTAAAATGGAAATTATTCGGGGGTTCCTCACAAATATCTACGTTTTTAAAATCCCTTTTAAAAGTCACGTTAGGTGTATAAAGTATGCAATAATATCCTGTAAACTCAGAAGTACAATAAAATCATTCAAAAGGTCAACGTTCCTTTACTTAACAGTTTTTATTACTTTCATTAGATCTGTAACACGAGTAACTAAGCTACCAGATTAACATACTCTACAGACTCAGCTTAGTTCACTTCCTCAAGACTCAAAGATAAATAAACTCCGCGGATGCAGGTTGACCAGTGTTTGGCTGAGTAAAGGCATGCAAATAATTGACTTGGTAGATCCCAAACACAACGGATTCAGCAGGCAGGGGAATTAATTTTATTGCCTGTGTCAGGAGCACACAAAGGAGCAATTAGTTAAGTGGTCAGTGACTGGCCATAAACCAACTAGGAGTCGGAGTCGGAGGCGAAAGCTAAAGCAAAAGGCTAAAGCCTCTCAGAAACAGTTCGAATGCAGTCAAGTCAAGCGGGTCTATTTCATTTATTAGGACAAGCCCCAGATCCCCGATACCCGCCGGGGTTGCCGATGGGTCATTGGTCAACCTGCGTTCGATGGAATTCAATCACGTTGGAGGCGATTAACTACAGCAGCCGGAGGAAAAACCGGCAAAAGTTGCTGCTGAGCACCGAGAACCGAGAGCTCTACAAAGTAAAAGAATAATAGCCAAGATTTAATGTAATTGCGTCGGGGGAGGAGGAGGAGTAGGAGGTTAGCTCCTGCCATGCTCGTGTCCTTTGCTCAGTTTGCTAGTTGAACTTTCCCCCCATCTCGATTCCCATTCCCTTCCATTCGCATCCTTTCTCCGGTTTGCTCTGTTTGCGTTTTCTTTTGTGGCCACTGGCCATCGAGGCTTTTGTAGCGCATTGGCTTTGTCTGGGATTTGTCCGGATAAGTAGGGGTAGGGGTCCCCATACAAGATATGGCGAGTTGAGCCCGCGGCCAAAGTGGCCGAAGGTATCAATGCCCAAAAGTAGGCAGCACACTTGCCAACTTTCCGACTTTACTTGGCCGACTTAAATGTTTAATTCTTTGCAGTTGATTAACCCTCGGGTATTACTAGGCTAAATCAAGTGATTAACTACACGCAAAATAGTGCTTCCAAGGATCAGCACTTTAAGCGAGAGAAAAAAGTTTGGGGATTATTCAATAAGTTCAGAGGAAACGTGTAAGGCTAATAGCTTTAACCCTAAAATGGTTATAGCAAATCATATATGTTTCAAAATAGGCAGTCAATACTTATTTTAGTAAATCGCATAAGTTAGTTGAAATGTAAGCTAACTTTATATGGCCACTAGAAAAATGGAACCGATGCCAAAAACTAATTAACCCTTCAAAATACCTATGCCGAAAAGTGGTTCATGACGCAATTCTAGATTCCAAACCTTAAGTTATTGTATTCCCATTTTGACGTGGGATTCTTGAGTTTGTGGTTGAATTTCTATACTCTAGTTAAACATTTTTTTAAAGAAGGTCAAATTTTTACCCATTTCATGTTCATTTTTCGTATTTCCAATGGGTTCAGTATGGAACCGAAACTACACTTCTAGATTCCATACTTGAGTTATTGTACTCCGATTTTAACGTGGGATACCTTCATGAATTTGTTATTGATTCTCTGATATTCTGCGTTTAAATATTTCCTTTAAGAGAAGGTCCAAATTTTAGCTCACTTTCAAGTTCCATTTTTTCGTATTTCCAATGGGTTCAGTATCGGAACCCAAACTGCACTTCTAGATTCCATAACTTGAGTTATTTTATTCCGATTTTAACTTGGGATACCTCTATGAATTTGTTATTGAATTCTCTAATATTCTACGTTCAAAATTTACTTAACAGAAGGTCCAAATTTTAGCCCATTTCATGTTCTATTTTTGGTATTTCCAATGGGTTTCAGTATGGGAACCCAAATCTGCACTTCTAGATTCCATAACTTGCGTTATTGTATTCCGATTTTGACGTGGGATACCTTTATGAATTGTTATTGAATTCTCAGATATTCTGCGTTTAAATATTTCCTTTAAGAGAAGGTCCAAATTTTAGCTCACTTTCATGTTCCATTTTTTCGTATTTCCAATGGGTTTCAGTATCGGAACCCAAAACTGCACTTCTAGATTCCATAACTTGAGTTATTTTATTCCGATTTTAACGTGGGATACCTCTATGAAGTTGTTATTGAATTCTCTAAAATTCTACGTTCAAATATTTCCTTTAACAGAAGGTCCAAATTTTAGCCCATTTTCATGTTCTATTTTTCGGTATTTCCAATGAGTTTCAGTATGGGAACCCAAATCTGCACTTCTAGATTCCATAACTTGCGTTATTGTATTCCGATTTTGACGTGGGATACCTTTATGAATTTGTTATTGAATTCTCTGATATTCTACGTTTAAATATTTCCTTTAAGAGAAGCTCTAAATTTTAGCCCATTTTCATGTTCTATTTTTCGGTATTTCCAATGGGTTTCAGTATGGAACCCAAATCTGCACTTCTAGATTCCATAACTTGCGCTATTGTACTCCGATTTTGACGTGGGATACCTTTATGAATTTGTTATTGAATTCTCTGATATTCTGCGTTTAAATATTTCCTTTAAGAGAAGGTCCAAATTTTAGCCCACTTTCATGTTCCATTTTTTCGTATTCCAATGGGTTCAGTATGGGAACCCAAATCTGCACTTCTAGACTCCATACTTGAGTTTTTTTATTCCGATTTTGACGTGGGATACCTCTATGAATTTGTTATTGAATTCTCTAATATTCTACTTTCAAATATTTCCTTAACAGAAGTTCAAATTTTAGCCCATTTTCATGTTATATTTTTCGTATTTCCAATGGGTTTCAGTATGGGAACCCAAATCTGCACTTCTAGATTTCATAACTTGCGTTATTGTACTCCGATTTTGACGTGGGATACCTTTATGAATTTGTTATTGAATTCTCTGATATTCTGCGTTTAAATATTTCCTTTAAGAGAAGGTCCAAATTTTAGCCCACTTTCATGTTCCATTTTTTCGTATTTCCAATGGGTTCAGTATGGAACCCAAATCTGCACTTCTAGATCCATAACTTGAGTTATTTTATTCCGATTTTGACGTGGGATACCTTTATGAATTTGCTATTGAATTCTCTGATATTCTACGTTTAAATATTTCCTTTAGGAGAAGGTCCAAATTTAGTCCATTTTCATGTTCTATTTTCGGTATTTCCAATGGGTTTCAGTATGGGAACCCAAATCTGCACTTCTAGACTCCATAACTTGAGTTATTTTATTTCGATTTTGACGTGGGATACCTCTATGAATTAGTTATTGAATTCTCTGATATTTTGCGTTAAAATATTTCCTTTAAGAGAAGGTCCAAATTTTCGCCCACTTTCATGTTCCATTTTTTGGATTTCCAATGGGTTTCAGTACGGAACCCAAAACTGCACTTCTAGATTCCAGAACTTGAGTTATTTTATTCCGATTTCGACGTGGCATACCTCTCTGAATTTGTAGTGGAATTTTCTTATATCTGCATTCAAATTATTCTTTAAGTCATGGTCAAAACTTTAACCCATTTTCATGTTCGATTTTTCCGTATTTCCCATGGTTTTCAGTATGGTAATCCAGAAACTACACTTCTAGATTCCATAACTTAAGTAATTTTGTTCCGATTTCGACGTGGGATACCTCTTTGAATTTGTAGTGGAATTTCTTATAATCTGCATTCAAATATTCTATTAAGTTATGGTTAAAATTTTAACCCACTTTCATGTTCGCTTTTTCCCTATTTCCAATGGTTTTCAGTATGGGAACCCAAAACTGCACTTCTAGATTCCATAACATTAGTAATTTTATTCCGATTTCGACGTGGGATACCTCTTTGAATTTGTAGTCAAATTTTCTTATAATCTGCATTCAAATTATTCTATTAAGTTATGGTCAAATTTTAACCCACTTTCATGTTCGATTTTTCCGTATTTCCAATGGTTTTCAGTATGGGAACCCAAAACTGCACTTCTAGATTCCATAACTTTAGTAATTTTATTCCGATTTCGACGTGGGATACCTCTTTGAATTTGTAGTGAAATTTTCTTATAATCTGCATTCAAATTATTCTATTAAGTCATGGTCAAATTTTAACCCACTTTCATGTTCGATTTTTCCGTATTTCCAATGGTTTCAGTATGGGAACCCAAAACTGCACTTCTAGATTCCATAACTTTAGTAATTTTATTCCGATTTCGACGTGGGATACCTCTTTGAATTTGTAGTGGAATTTTCTTATAATCTGCATTCAAATTATTCTATTAAGTATGGTTAAAATTTTAACCCACTTTCATGTTCGCTTTTTCCTATTTCCAATGGTTTTCAGTATGGGAACCCAAAAACTGCACTTCTAGATTCCATAACATTAGTAATTTTATTCAGATTTCGACGTGGGATACCTCTTTGAATTTGTAGTGGAATTTTCTTATAATCTGCATTCAAATTATTCTATTAAGTTATGGTTAAATTTTAACCCACTTTCATGTTCGCTTTTTCCCTATTTCCAATGGTTTTCAGTATGGGAACCCAAAACTGCACTTCTAGATTCCATAACATTAGTAATTTTATTCCGATTTCGACGTGGGATACCTCTTTGAATTTGTAGTCAATTTTCTTATAATCTGCATTCAAATTATTCTATTAAGTTATGGTCAAAATTTTAACCCACTTTCATGTTCGATTTTTCCGTATTTCCAATGGTTTTCAGTATGGGAACCCAAAAACTGCACTTCTAGATTCCATAACTTTAGTAATTTTATTCCGATTTCGACGTGGGATACCTCTTTGAATATGTATTGGATTTTGCTTATAATCTGCATTCAAATTATTCTATTAAGTCATGGTCA